CCAAATAAGTTTCCTTCGATTGATTGTAAACTGCTGATGCAGTCTGGCCAAAGTCCCACAAAAAGTGTTGTGAAGTGCATTTGATCATATCCAAATGTTAATTTGTAGAAAGATGACACTCTAATCATTATTATTGAACTCAACAGCAGAAGCCTATGTCCATTCATTTGATCATGCTAAACTCACGTTAACAGAGTGAAAAATTCTTAGCTATTTTGGAGCTGAAAGAGCTGAAAATTAGTTCAATACATTATTATAATATCATTATAGTATTGTGTGGTTGTCTGGATAAAAATTTTGAAAGGTCGTCAATTTAATTGATCAAGTGAACCATTAAAATCTAATATTCATTTGTCAGGAGACTTTTTGTTGCCAACCATTATTTTAAGCACTGTAAGATGTGCATGATTATTAGACCTAAATATTACTTTTTACTGTTTTTCTGCAGTTCAAATGGTCACGTAAGGGCTTCACGAGAACAAGGTGGAAGATCAACAAGTGGTTAGTTAATCTAATTTTTTGTGTATGTCAGTTCTTTTGGCTTGTAAACATCTTTTGACATGAGAAAATCAAAAGCCCAGCTCTTCACTTTTAAGAATAATTATTTAAACAGTAATTATACTCAGATAGTGAAACCAGGTGTTTAAGCTACATACCCGGCCATATGGCAAGCCACCATCATCAAATCCTAATAATACATTTAACTACTAGTTCACAGAGATTGAGAGGGAAAAACAGTCCTAAGGGCCTATGGACCCTGGTTGTTAAAAAAATTTATGGGTTATTTCTAAACAGTATTTAATATCCATTGCATTAACAGGGAGTGATGAAAAGAAGAAAGATTGAGCATTTTTGTTAGAGATGTAACTTTTGATAGCATGCATCAGTTACACAGTACACAATGTATCTTGCAGTTAACAATATAATGAAACAATTTATTCTGGTGTCACTTAAGAGCCACTGACCAATTTTTTGAAGAAAGCAAAACATGAAAGAAAAAGGTTCATCAAAAGGTTCCTTTAGGAAAAATAAAATGAATTACAAAATTTTACTGCAGCAGATTCTCACAGGGTTCCTGCACTCCTTGAAAGTCCTTGAACTTAATTTTATGTTCTCAAGGACTTAACAACCCTTGAGTTTAGTCTCAGGTCCTTGAAAATTTCTGAAAAGTCCTTGAAAATAAGTGCTGATGAATCAAAGTCGAACTTTTCTTTTGTTTTTGGTGTTGAAAGTGTTGGTTTCGAGCACGAATCACAAAAGCAAGTTTTTCCTTCAAATCCTGCATCCGCTTATGATGTTTGACATGTGATAAAGAGCAATTTTTTTTTTTATTTCTGTTAGCTCCTATTTACTCAGTGAAAAAGGTCCTTGAATTTGAGAGCCAAGGTCCTTGAAAATGACTTGAAAAGTCCTTGAAAGTCCTTGAATTGGGTTCCTGAAAAAAGTGCAAGAACCCTCAGTGGCTCCTTAATCAAACAAACTCAGTGGCTGTCCTGTGCAGTACTTATAAAGGTGTTAACATGGAATCATGTTTTTATACAGTTTACTCTGTACTTTTCTTGACAGTGTGTTTGATTTACTCAACATTCACCTTTTCCATGATGCTTCAAACTTGATATCCATTGAGGTGGTAAGTAAGGTTTCACTGATCACTAACAAATATTAATATGTTGTATTGTAACAGATTCAACTTAAATGAAAATTTGGTTTGTCTCTAGATTTCTTGTTATTTTCTTTTTTTATTATTATATATTTTTTATAAAACTATTATTTTTTGATCATCAGACTCCATCAGTATACAGTAAAAATCGCATGAGAGCTCTGGATCATGTTTTAGACAGGTAAGGTGATCAGTCTTTTGTTTGAAGAATAATGAAATTAGTGTAGGCAGAGTAATGAAGAGTATTGCTCCAACCTGTAGCTCCCCTGGAGATATTTAGTGACTTCACCATCTAAGTTGAATCGTACTGATTGCATCGTTTATCTTTTGGTTTTGGCAGAATAACTAAGGGTGCAATTCCTGTAGTTCCCCATATGTTATTTGGTGACTTCAACTTCAGACTTGACAACAAGAAAGTGGTGGAGGTGCGGTATAATTTGGAGATGTCATATTCACAAGCAGTTAAAGTTGGCGCAAGATAATCCAGCATTTGATAAATGTGCAACTCATAATGCACAGTTACAGTACCATCTGATTATACATAAATTATAGAGACCTGTAATCATGCAAACATGACTGACTTTATGTGGCATTTTTATACGTTTTCTACAGGCTCTCTGTGCTGGTCTTCCACAGCACCGTATCAGGAAGGAAGGTGAGAGTACCCCTTCAAAGATCATCTACAGGGACAGAAAGAAGGCTGATAAGGTAAATACTGTAGATGTTGACAGTCAAGGTGACAAGACGTGTTAGCCCTTTCATATAGCCCACATTCAGGAAGAAGACAGGGGACTTAAATGCTCCATGGAAGGCTGATATTTTATATCTGACAGAACACATGTGGATACTGAGGCTTTCAAATAGTGATAATTTTACCTCTATTGTTGTTGTTTGTTATAACTGGCTCTTTGTTATAGTTTGTCAATGGTGAAAATGAAAGTGGCAATAAAATGATCATGTTTTCATTATAAATTAATGAGTGGTCTGATTGTATGATGTACTTTGTTTTTTGTTTTTGTTTTTATTTGACAGGTTTTCCTAACACTGGAACCTCGAATTTTCAAGGTCCATGACCAAAGTATATTTAGATATCACAATGGAAAGAAGTTTTCAAAGTACAATAGGGAATTTGACGTCTTCAAAGACAGACTGTTTGAGTTTGATATTTCATTTTGTCCTAGGTAAAAGCTATTAATACCATTTAATAGGTTGTATATTTCTTTAGCGATGCTTTAGGCATTTTATTAAATTAGAGGTGAGTTGTTAAGAAATTTGTTTCTGAAGAATACTTTAGTGTTACGATCTTGCTGAGTATCTAATTTAATCTGGGTGTGGAATAACCTCATTTTTATTATTTAATCTCAAGTGTAGCTTCTTGTTAACATACTGTACTTGTATTATTGTTTTGTTTTGTTTTTTTTGTCCCCTTGCCTTAGGGATGAGATGTTTATGTGGCCATGCAAGAACAATTTAAAAAAAAAAACCTTTTATAGAATAGTGTACAGCAGCATCAATGTGATAAAATATTTCTTGTCTATTTGCTTATAGCTATCCTTTCAGTGAAAAGGTGAAGGATTCAACAGTATATGGGGACTCCAGGTACAAAGTCTTTTAAGTAACATGGTAGAGACTGTTTCTTAAATCAGGTCAGGAGTGTCAAGTCTTCATCTCTTGTGATCATTTCCCATCTGAATACTGGTATTGTGCTAGAATGTTTTTCCCTTGTAAAAAGTTAAGAATTTTGTTAAGAAAGTGATGTTGCTGTGCTAATAAATGTTAATTCCTTCTGTGGTATCAAAATATGCAAGGTGTCCATCTTGGTGTGACAGAATATTCTTGAGTCACTCAAGCAGAGCCATAATTAACCAGGTCAGTTTTCTTGATCATTGATAATCATTATTAACCCTTAAACCTGTGCATGATAAGCATCTACAGTAATATTTCCTAACAGCATCAGCCCTGACCCTAACCCTAACCCACCCCACCCCTGAGTCAAATATTAACTAAGGTCATGAGAATAAAGGAAAATAATGATTACAAGGTCAAGAAACTCTTGATTATTAAGAAAATTCTCCTTGTGAGTGCTAAAGAAAACATATGAAGACAATGTGGAGAACTTATATACTGATTTTAATGTGTAAAGGGGAAACTATGCATTTGACCTCACTTTCTATATTGGGAGAACACCATAGTACTTATGTATTCTCCTAGTGTCTTACATGGGTTATAACACAAGTTAACCAAAAGAGTGGTCTATTGCTTTTATAAATATCAGCTTAAACACAAAACACAATATGTTTAGATTTTTTATGGGTTTACCAGTGGGATAAATGAAAAGCATCATTCACCATCAGAAGTGATACTAGTTTCTCCAGTGCAGATTTTTAATCAGCACAGAAGAACTTGTGATAATAGCAATAGCTGTAGTGTGTGAAAGCAATGCTCACAGTAATTAACACAACTTTAGCTAAAAGAACTAACATGCACAAAAAATTAGATTATCTAACCACTTGTTGATCTTCCACCTTGTTCTCATGAAGCCCTTATGTGACCATTTGAACTGCAGGAAAACAGTAAAGAGTAATATTTAGGTCTGATACTCATGCACATCTCACGGTGCTTAAAATAATAGTTGGAAACAAAAAGTTAGGCCTGAAAAAAATTCAGGATCGCTTTCATGCATTTCTTAAAACGGCAGCGCACATATATGACTTTCATTTATTCAAAATTCTTTGAATGATCACTTCATGGGTTTGATAAGAACCAACATAATGACCAGCTCCCAGTTGGCTTGTTTGCCCAGTTGGTAGAGTAGTGCACCAGTGTCGCAGAGGTCACGGGTTCAAATCCCAAACAGGCCAGAATTTTTTTTCAGGCCTACTACCTAAGTAGTGTTCATTACTGCACAGATCACTTTCATACACTTCTTAAAACCACAGTGCACATATAATTAGGACTTTCATATATTCATAAGCAATAGCAGTACTTTCATACTTTGTAGTTCATGGAGGATGTGTAGCAATACTGTAATTGAAGTTTGGAATGAAAGACAAATAATGGTCAAGAAAATAGTTTCTATGAAAGTCCGAGTGTACGTTAGTCTATTTAGCTAAATATTAATTATAGTACATTGAGCACCAGAGCTAGGTTGTTCAAAATTCAATTCCAAACCTTTGACCAGCTGCCATGAAACTTGAATGTGGATAAGTGTTTATTGAGCTTTAAACAACCCATCCTTAGGCTAGTATTTCAACTAATGTTTTGTTATGTTTGATTAGAGTAAAGGCTCATCAGTAGTGTATGACATGATGGGTAAACAAGTCTGTATGGGAGATCACAAGGTACAGTACCTGTTTCACCCTGAATCATTCTGTTTTGTGGCGTTAGCCTTTTTATCAATTCTGTTCTTTATTCTGATTCTTTCATAGCCTGTGTTTTTGAATTTTAACATGGATTCTTCTCAAGACACCCTTTCCAAAGGTTGGTAAATAATTGACATCAGTTTTTCCAGGGAGCTCTTGGTGTAAGTCATTCAATTTGGAACGGATATAACTCTTTACTTTTTACTGGTCTGTAATCCAATACTTTCACACGTTTTAAAAACATCTGTAGGTGGACCTGGACTTGTCAGAAATGGTGGACCTGTTGAAATTGTAGAGTATTTAACAAGTGTTTAAGACTCCACAACTTTCTGTTTCATTTGGAGTTGAACTCTTTTACCTTATGTCTTTACTGCACTCCATGTGCAGAAATTTAGTGTTAAATTAGGTGTAAAGCACATGTAGTGCTATTTTATTAGTGAACAGAACTGTCCACGTTGAAGGAGACGAGATTGAGTTTTGCTTAAATTACCCTTTCGTTCCAATAATTATGTTTATCTGCCCTCAGAACTATTAAATTTTTCTGCGCATTGGTGATGTAAAGAAAGAAACATAATTTATTCATTAGAGGATTTTATTTGATCTGATGCTTAATTGCAGAGGCAAAATTATAAGCAATGTATGGCTAACAATGTAGAGAATCTATATTAAGATTAAGATTTTAGGAATGAATTGATCAGTGAGTAGATTTTAAACAGTTTTTCGTTGCTAGGCAAGATTGCCTAAGGGCACTGAGGTTCACAGATAGAACAAACAGTATATAGGAAGACAGTGTAACCAAATAAGGTTTAGATTAATAACTCTAGCAATGACTCAGATTATTTATTTAAAAATCATATAGAGAATCATTAAGAGATTGTGTCAGTAAAAGTATACTGATGACCATGCAATGCTGGTGAAGTAGGCATTCAACAGGCTGGGGCAGGTAATTTAAGATCTCAGTGCATTCCCTCTCGTTTCGTTTTGTTTTGTTTTTTCCATTCCAAAAGTTAGTAAATAGATGTAAGTCTTTGGCATTCAATTGCAGAACTGTTTTTGTGTTTGGCTTCAATCCAAGAATTGGCAACCTAATATCCACTGGCTGCCTTGTGCCTAAGTCGGTTTCAGATCGAGAATAGGTAGCAATGCATCTTTTTATGACTATGCTCTTTGTCCTGTTTTGAGGACTAGTTCTCTTTTGAAATAAAAGCAATCTCAGAAGAAGTAGATTTCCCAATTAAAGAAAACAACATTTTATTCTCCACTTTTTGCCTGCAGTGTACCTCTTATGCCTCATTGTGTAACATTTAACAAGGAAAGTAAGGGATTTCAGGGAAAAACAGATGGTAACATCTAACCGCAACATACTATTTTTTTTTGGAATAAGCATTTTGTTATTGGCAAATTTAGTTCAGAGATCGAAACTTTTTTGTACATAAAGGTGAGTTTTCATCAGTTGCACTAAATGAATTTGAAATCATTGACTAAGTCCGGTTAATCGGACTCCAGAGATATGAAACGACTAATTACCATTTCACCATTCTTTTTATGTAGAAAATTCCACGCACGTTTAAAAGTATTAAAAAGGATCTTTCTCTTAGGCATTCTTAAGTCGTGTACGCGGTTTTTTCATTTAGTTATAAGCAGACTTGTGAAATATTTAAGTATTTAATGGAAGTATCTAGTGTCTATCAGACAAGCATTCGGTAGGTAATAAAATCATAACCATGGATAACATTGGCTCTGTTTATGACTATATTCAACTCATGGAATACACCCAACCCACTAGTCCAAGACTCCAACCCACTTTTCGAAAAACCTGGTAAACGGCCCGTGAAGAAGGTTTAATTATTGCAAAATGTCGGCTGTGGCTGTACAAATTTAAGTCCGCGTTTAGTGCGTGGTGTTGTTCAGAGGAAAGAAGGTTCAGAGGTGGTTTTTCATTGGAAAAATTTGGGATTTAAACGAATCCGAAACCTAGCCGTATTGAAGTCAACTCGGAAGCCTTGGTAATAGTCCCTGTTTTCCATATTGGTATGAGACTTTCCAGGCTCGAACAAGAAGTCTAAGTCTAAAAGAAAGATCAGTGGTTTGCTACCTCAGCAAATTAAGGTTAGTTTGGTAGATGTAATTTTGATGTAAAGGTAGACACTGGGCACATCAAATTCTGGAGGGCTTGTTACAATCAGAGGCGGGGCGGGGGCCGCGTGACCTAAAAAGAAGGAAGATCGAAAACTGTCGAGTTACGACACTAACAAGACATGAAAGTCACCTTACCACAACTTTTAAAAATCAGGGGTGCATTTCTCGAAAGTCCCGGTAACTTAACGGGCCCGTAAAGCTGTTCTGTTTTCATTCAAGATGGGGATTTCAAAAGTTTTGAAAATGATGTAATAAAACTATCAGCTAAAGAAGCAAAAAGGACTGGTTTGGGTGCCAGAATCTGCTTTCCTATCCTTTAAATTTTGATTTTAAAACATAGTTACGGGCCCGTAAAGTTACCGGGACTTTCGAGAAACGGGCCCCAGGACTCCTACCGTCACCTCGATCTCAGTTCTGTAGTTAAACGATGCTTATTTCGGCTGTTAACGAGACAACAATTTGATATACAAATTTTAAGAGTGAATGAAAAACAAAATGATGATCAAGAGATATAAATATAACAACTGTTGAGAAACGGTGAATGGTGGGCAAGCTAATTCGTTGGGAAAAGGATCAGTATTGTGTTCCATTGATGCTTCTTTAATTGCGGTGTTTG